ACAACGCTACGCCTGCAAGGGAAAAGCCGCATCGTTTGACAAAGTCTCTGTTTCAACCTCTCTTCAACGTGTCGAAGACATGCACTAGGTCACGAGGAACAAAAGCATTCGCAGCCTCATCAGATAAGGGACTACCGTCCCCGTTGGATTCCCATTGGATCCCCTTGCGTACCAGCACCAGGATTACCAAAGAACTTTCATCTCAGTCGGTTCAGGGAGAAATTCTGGGTGGGATGTCCGTCCTTGTCATGGCTGCTCTGCAACAATATCGATGGTGGTTTGCTAAGGACAGGATCAACTCACTTCTGAGCCGGAGGACTATTGCCAGGTCGGCCGCTATTCGCACACCGAAGTGTGGCGAGAAACGTTACATTCGATTTGCGTACTGATCGAAGAATCCTCTCTCGAGATGAGCCTGAAGAGAACCGTCTGCGAGAGTGAAGGGCGTCCTGAAGTTGACCACTGGGTCTCTTCATTGGGTAAAGAAGTCTGCTCACCACCCTAGCTTTGTCTCTCCTTGTTCAAAGCAGCCGCTGTGGTAGGCAAAATACCAAAATACCGTGGTTTCCTCTATGAGCAGCACCTGACGATCGGATCGATGGAATGCGCCTCAACGCCGGAACAGATGCGGCGATCACAGTCTCGCAATACCTAAACAATAAACAATAAACAGGCTTTGGGCTGAGATTGCGCTGTACCCTAAGTGCCTGACTGGCCAGATTTAGGAAGATGCCCGGGAGCGGTCGAAGTTGGGTGAGGGGCAGGGATGCGCGCGATCCCCCAACCTCCCACTTTCCCACGCGTTGGCGGGTCTTGGCGTTCATGCAGCATGCATGCACAGTCAACCTCATGCAATAATGAATAATGCAATGCAATGCAATGCAATGCGCCTTTTTGCCAAAATCCGATGAATTCGCAGGGGCGAAGGTGGCGACTTCTTTTTGGGTGGCGCGGAAACAAACGGTGTTGCTCGGTCTGGGGAGGTTCGTTAATTGCAAGAATGACTTTGTGATGAGGGAGAAGGTCCAATTAGGCTTCAAGATGGAAATGGATTCGCCGTGAATGGAAATTCATTTGCCCCCATTAATTTGCTCCTAGCGCGCCGCTTTTCACCTTCCTGGTCAAGCTCCTGGCCTTCTTTTGCTCTCTTTGTTTCTCCCAGACCCTCAGTGGCTGACCCAAAAAGCTGGGTGCTCAAGCATAAGATGCGCGCAAACCCCATCGCTCCCAGCTTCTCTTCTCCCACCCCCATTTCAATCTTCCGAATATATAAACATCTAGGTTTGTGTCCTCTGGGTCCTCTGGGTTTTGGGAACCCACTAATTGCTCTTCCCAAAGATCTCCAGCACCAGCACCGGCCCCAACCCCGCAGCGACTGCCAGGGACTCGTCCAATCGGTAATTGCTCACTTTTTGGACTGTCCACCGAGGAATGATTGCTGCAAGAACCCGGAGGTTGAATGACGATTTTGGAGCATCTTGATCATCTTGGGCTCTCTGCTCGGCTATCTGCTTCAAGGTGATCGGGGAATCTTGTACTGAGATTAACATTATCGTCGGCCGAGTTGCCCCAGGCATTATCGTGCTAAGAAACAATTGGCAATTGGATCCCCACAAAAGAAGGGCGGCAGCGTCTTTCACGTTTGCATTGATTCGAGAGGCATCACAGTGCGTGGTGTCTGGCACAAGGTCGCGCGTGGTGGTGGATGTCGAGAATTAGAAATAACGAGCGTCGACAAAGGAAAAAGCTTGTAAGATCAGATCGCGCTTTCCCTTTCTTTTGAACGCCACCACTCAACTCCGGTATACTTTAGATTTGAGCAACTTTTTCCCTCAACGGCCTTCTTCGCTCTTCACATTCTTCAGGCTGGTCCTATACTTCTTATCCTCGGATTTTAATTTATATCTTCCTAACATATTCATGTCTCCTTTCTCCCTCTGTTACTCTGTCTAGCCGTCATGGCCTCCACTACACTCATCACTTTCATGCTGTAAGCCCCCCGCAATCCCTTCCACTTCATGATGCGGAAGCTCAACGCTAGACAGCCAAGTACCGACAACGGCCTTCTCGGTCGAGATCTTGGGATCTTGGGACAATTTCACGAAACCATATCAGCTGAAGAGGGACCGCAAGACAGGGCCAGGTCAATGGCGAGGATGCCACACCTTCGAAAACATCACCTGCGATGGCGACACCCTGCACTCATCTACCAGTCGTGATGGAGGCTTGAAGATGGGAGGCACTTACTGGTACTATGTAAGACCACAATCGGTGCACTAAACTCACTGATCACTACTCTAGCTGACTGGCTGTACAGTACGTCATTGATGGTGATATTGACTACCATGATCCTGCGGAACCTTCGACGAGTCTATGCCCTCTCCTCCCAGGCCAGATGGTCAACGAGTTAAATGTCCCAGTCCAAGGGAAAGTGATCTTCGGAGGAAGCCGCAACGTCTCATCGAGCTCTCTTGACTCCGCGGTCTTCACCTTGGATCCGAAAGACAAGTACCTCCCCCCAGGTGTTCGCCGCGCTACTACCACCTCAGCCGTCCATGCGCGCAAGCCTCCCCTCCCTGCGACGACCAGACCGATGTTTCGAGCACCTCGCAATGGCTCAACCCTGGCAGACGTAGTGCCGCAAACCTCAAAGACGACCCACGACGTTCTAAACCTGGAAAGTCAGCGTTCTCTGCTCTCGGTCTTCCACCGGATGCGACAAACGAGATCTGCGGGTTCAAACACAAAATCAAACCTAGTATGGCCACGCAAGGTCTTCTCTCGAGCTGGCCAACCGACAGAGCAGGACGCGCCGAACTTTGTCCCGAAAGTGACGGAGCTACCTGATCGCACACCTAGCCTGCCGCCTACGAAGATTCGAGATGGGTTTGAAACGCCAACTCGACTACCTTCTACAGCGGGCACTACGGATCGAGCGCCTACGGCCTTCTTGATCAATCTCACAGTACCAAAAGACAATGTTCGTCCTTTGGAGCTGCTTCCATCCAGCGACCATAGCCAGTCGGCTCCTCCGAATGAGAGAGAGCTCGGGCTCGAGGGTAGGCACGCAACGTCCTCAATTCGAAACTCGGAGACTTCATTCTTATCAACCTACTACACCCCGCTTGAGCAGCTCAGAGACACGCTTTCGTTTTTTGCGCCGACTGCGGTTGAAAAAGAGGATGACACGGTGCTGAGTGATCGTCTTGGCGGACTCAATCTTGTGCCAGATGCACAAGCAACACTCGCAGACCCCACCAAGATGCCACTTGACGAACAAATCACTATTTCAAACGCAGTCCCGCCAACAGAGACACTCGGATCGCTTGAGCTTGATTTTCACTCTCCCAAGTATGGCTATGCGGAATCCTTAGCATCCTATGCCACCAGCGCCAACTTCTCTCCCTGCCTTGCTTCCAACTCGACTCACTCAGGGCCTACGTCCCCTTGCCATCTCTCTCAGCCCGAAACTCCTGATACGAGTGAGTTTGGAGACGATTTTCTACCGCCACTACGCGATTCAGAATCTTTCACGCAAACGGGCAGGAGAACTAGCAGTGATCTTGATCTCCTGTTGGCCAGACCCTCTTCTAGACCAGCGCCGCCACACCTACTGCGGTCGCAGGGAGACCATAGGCAGGACTCGCATACTACACTGGGTGGCTTCCAAGGCTACAGTCTTCCCGATCACGACCACGCCTCCGTACTCACGATCCGGAAGCTTCCCAGCAGCACATTCACGAAGACAGCCGGTGCTTCACCCTTCACTCAACAAAGCGGCGAGCAGGATCTCGTCCACTCGTGGAATGACGGGTCCGAACACCGCATGACCGCTCTCGGAGAACTCGTCGATGATTTGGGCTATCTCGGCAAAGTGATCATCTAAACGCCCTCCATACCACCACCACAACCTCCCATTCACCGCCATTATACTTGACGACTGCTATATACAACGACGCCTCTGGAGGCAACCTAATACTTTGAAGGATCTTCTGGCGTTCCGGGGACCGTTCGGCATTCATATACCCCCTGGACGCTACTGCTTTTTTTGCGCTGTCACGAAAATATAATGTATGAGGATTAGAAGATGAGGGATTCAGCACTGGCGCTGCAGCTATACGGGTACCTAGTGCATGAGGTAGACTCTACATACTACGAACAATGAATAGCTATGTTGTGTATCTTGTGAGAGTATCGGTACCGGTCACAGTCCGCATTGCCATCGTGTCTCCTACCCTTCGCTCCCACGTTTCGCTCCCACGTTTCGCTCCCACGTTCATCTTCCTCTTACCATTGGCTGCCATCCACGTGCAATTTCACACATGTTGTAACACAGCGCGAGATGAGAATCTCACAAATCAGTTGCGCAAAGCCCAAAAAGTAGGTGACACGATTACAACCCTCGTTGCTGTCATCCGCCCCGAAGGAAATCTAGATACACACACACCCGAACAGCACGAAAGCTAGATACACACACACCCGCACAGCACGAAAGCTAGATACACACACCCGAACAGCCCGCAGGCGACGCAAAAAAACGAGACGGATAAAACCAACCAAACGCAAACGCAAACGCCCGTTCCCGACCTTTCCATTGTAAAACGAGCCCGAAAGCGAGCGGGGTATTGGGGGTATCAAGCGATCGATCGATCGATCGAAAATCTATTGCATGTATATGTGTATATGCCCGTGCGCCGTGCTGGATGGGGATGTGGATGTGGATGATGTTGATGTTGATAGGATGAGGGACGGAGAGAAGGGAAGGGTGTCGTATGCTGGTGGTTGGAGAGATGGGGGGAGGGGGTTGTTGGAGCGTGGTGTGGGAGTTTCATGAGGGGTCGCGAGGGAAATGGACACGGTCTGTTGGCGACTCCGTTTGAGATTGGCGAATGCGGGGCCGCGGTGCGGAGGCGTCCAGTGATACGCCCGATCCTAGAGGAGCGAAGCTGTTGCGAGCTAAGCGGGACAAATGGCAGATGGCGTTGGGTGATGTCGGTCCCTCAGAAGGTGCTCCAGTTCCATTCCCTCGTCAGGCTCGCCGCGACGCTGCCTCTCTTGTCGTCCGCACCTTTGCCCGTCCCCTTGGCCACCGCCTTCGCGGGGGTGCCGGGCGCCAGACTTTCCCCCCTCGCGGCCGCGTCGATCCTGTCTTCTTTCCACTTCGCGTACATGCCCCAACAGTGTCCGCATCCCCTGTAGAGTCCCCCGTTGGGATGATAGTTTCCGTCCTGGTCCAGGGGTATCTGCCACACGGAATGCTTCCCGCAAAACACGTTCCCACAGTGCCTGCAATGATGCCGTCGCTCGAAGAGTCCGAAGGATTTCTGGCAGACGGGCGCGTCGCAGATCGAGGCATGGGCGTCTGGTTTCCAATGGCCGCGCGTGGGGGGACCTGTGACTGCGGGGAGACCGGCGGTCAGTAAGGCTTGCTCGGTCGTGGGCGATTGAACTTCTTCGGAGACTTGGCCGAGGGAGGCCTGTTGGCGGCTGTCGGTGGTACTGCGCCGACTCACCGGCCGCCTGGATTCTGCGCCGTCGAGGCTGTCGGTGCTACCGTGGACGGAGCGCGGGGGTGTGATGGGGGAGGCGCGGGGCGGGCGTTCGGTTGGGCGCAGGGCGGCGGGCACGTACATGGGGGTCTTTGGAGGGCGCAGTTGGCGATTTGCGAGGGGTGGGAACTGGGAGGAGGCGTGAGGTGAGGAAGGCGACATGTTGAGCGGGGTATTTGGATCCATTGGTGGATATTGAGGAGGGTAGCCGAGGGGAGATTGGAGTGGAGGTTGAGGTGGGTATTGAGGAGGGAATTGTGACGGGTACTGCTGTGGGTATTGCTGATACCCTTGGGAGTTTGGCGGGGTGGTGGTGAATTGATCGGCTGGTCGAGGGGTGGGGAAGCTGGTGGGTAGAGTCGTTGCCATAGCGGGCAATATGCGAGATAAGGAGAACCGGAGAGTCGTGGAGGTTGTTGAAGAGGTGGTGAAGTTGGAAGAAGGCAAGTATTATGAGGATTCGAGGCTTGTTGTTGTAGAGGGGAATTAATTGAATTGGTGTGGTGGTCGGAGATAAAGGTGCAGAAAAGATAAGTGGTCAAGTAAATTGAGATATGTGAGCTGGGGATGCTATGAGAGCTATGAGAGGCCCATTGCTGGCCCCGCAAGCAAGGGCAATCTGACCGAAAAGATAGGCGTAAGGGCGGTGACTGTTTCTTATGATAGATGATAGGAATATGTGGGTCAGAGAGTGAAAGAGTGTTTATTTCCGTCAAGGGTTGCAATCAACGGAGATCCTTTGCGCCCTGGCAATTGGCAAACCGACGAAGCGCAAAGGTGGCAAGAGATCAATAGCATCAAGGTACAGAAAAAGTAAATGAGAAGAAATCAAAGGAGAAGGGACCAACGTCTGTCTATATACAGAAAAAGCAAAGCCAATGAGACGGGGAAGAGGAAGAATGAAAAAAGGTAAGTTAAGAAAACGAGTTGGTTTTCTCTCTTCCCCAGGCTACGACAGAAATCAAGCCACCGGCGCTCGCGGGTCCCTCCATCTAGCCCTTGGAGCCAGCACCTATCTCGGGCAAGCGCTGGGATGGAAGGGTACTAAAAAAGCAATCTAAGATAATGGCCGGCTCTTGATTTGGAACCCAAAGCACAAGAGTGACAAGAATCGACAAGAATCCATAAGAATCGGACGAAGAAAGATCGGGCAAGCTGTCGCATGGCTACAGCAGGGATCTCATGGATCATCTGTCCAAGGTGCAGAGCCGAAGTGGCTGTATGCATGCGCAAAATCTCTCAGACCTCGATGGCCATGAGATGGTCTTGTGAATTAAATATGCGACTTCCAGTCGGAACGATCAGAGTCAATTAGAAGTAATAATGTAGGAGCGTTGCATTCACCTCATTGGTAAGTACTCTAATCTCATCTAGCTCTACGTAAATAAGTACCTATTCAATTGCTGGCATGTTGATTGCTCAATTGACTTTGCCGATGCAGGGACTTTTAGATGGCAGCTGGCTTGTCGCATAGATAAGGCATCCCTGCCAATTCTGCCGTCATCCCCCTAAAACTTCCTCCCCCCCAGTGCCCCCAAATCCCGTTGTCGATCCAATTGAATTGCCAACCTACTTTACTTTACCAGACATACAGACGGGCACTTCGGATCCAAGCCCCGTAGCTTGCTTCATCGCCTGTCAACCACGAGTCTACCTACCAGACCACCATAACGACAAGAGCTAATGCTGCGGTACCTCTGGCGCTACACCATACTTGTCCTCACCGCTGCCTTGATCGTCACGGCTTTCAGCTATCAAACACCTTGACCCTCTGCATACAGAGACGTGAGTGGAGAGGCTAAAGATGGAGATGAAGTAGGCTAAATCTACGTGAAGAAAGCCCCACCTTCCGCAGCGCCATACAAGCATTACACTGAAATCACGCATAGCAGCGTCCAAGCTTTTGCCAACCAGCTTCGCGCTCCCACGACCCTTCCCAACGGCTATCATGCCCAACCATCCGCCAACAGATGGCTCCTGGCGCCACCAGCTTGGCACTCCTTCCTTCCCGGTGGAGCCGGACCGCTACCATCTCTACGTCGGCCTCTTCTGCCCCTTTGCGCAAAGAGCTATCATAGCGCGGGAGTTAAAGGGGCTGCAAAACTTGTTGCCCATGAGCATCGTAAAGCCATACCCCAAAGACAATGGCGGTTGGCGCTTTCCAGCCACAGATGACGAATACCCTGGCAGCACAGTCGACCACCTCTTCCACTCCAAATATCTTCATGACGTCTACTTCAGGTCGGACTCGGAATACAAGGGGAAGTACTCAGTGCCGGTACTATGGGACAAGAAGACGAATCAAATTGTGAACAATGAGAGCGAGGATATAATGCGCATGCTGAACCATGCATTTGACGACTACCTGCTGGAGGGCGACGGAAGAAGAAGTCTTGACACCTATCCGCCGGAATTGAGAGGAATAATTGATGAAGTGAATAGTTGGATGATGCCCAATCTCAATAACGGCGTCTACAAAGCCGGCTTCGCAGACACGCAAGAAGATTACGAGAAGAACTGTAGGATCGTCTTCGAAACGCTGGACCGGCTCGAGAAAATGGCAGCAGAATCCTCCACTTCCTACATGCTCGGCACGACGCAGCCTACAGAGATAGACATCAAGCTCTACACGACGTTGGTACGATTCGACACGATATACCAACAACATTTCAAGCTCATGGTCAGGAGTATACGGCATGGGTACCCGAGACTGAACAGGTGGCTGAAGAATATGTACTGGAATGTCCCCGGTGTCAAAGAGACGACGAATTTCAAGCACATCAAGGAAAATTATAGCAAGAGCCACGGAGATATCAATCCAAAAGCCATCACGCCACTGGGGCCAGAGCCAGATGTCGAACCTTGGATAGAAGAGGCCCAGCCTTGAAAAAGGAGACGCTTGGATTCTAGATAATTAAAGAGAAACTTGTTCAAAAACAATGAACCCTCTCTCACATCCATGTTCCCAAACCCTCCCTTCCAAGCACCCTCGCGCGGGGGGGCATATGATCAAATCACACCGCCCTAGAGTACTCTACTCGGTCTTCAACACCAGCGCAACCCGCGTGCGTGTGGGTCCTTCCCTCGCGGTCTCGACGCATCAGGACGCGGCATTGCGTCGCGTCGGAAAAGATGGCTCGGTTGGATCTAGCCGGCCATGGTCGTGAAGGAGGAGAGTGAGTGCTGTGTGGGTCTTGTAGGAGGGGATGGAGCAGAAGTCGTACAGAGAGGGGATTTCGGAGTATTCAGGTTGCAAGAGGGGGAAGGGTCTCTTTGCTTTGCTTTCGTTTGCGCATGAATTTACTGGTATCGACTGGGACGAACCGGCTCTTGTTATTTCGGGAAAGGGTTGAACGCATTCTAAAAGTATTGCCATCGATACCGGGGTTGAGCAACGACAAGTCAACGAGCCAAACATACATCCTTGCTCCAAGTCCAACTTCATTTCTCACATCGAGAAGAGAGATGGTCCGGAAGACCTTGGTGATCGAGAACGCTCATGACTGACAAGAGATCAGCTGATCAGGGGTGGTCCTTCTTGATTTGGCCGAAAGATACGTGCCAAATCTTGATCACGGAAAATGGCATGTTTGGATTGCGGCGCAAGTCTCCCATGTCCTCCAACAGAATCTCCTCATTCTCTCAAAAATACCTCAAGTACTTTGCAATCATCATTCTGGGATTTTTCAGGCTTACAAAGGCAATAAGTAGCCAGAGTAATCGCGATTGGGAGTCATTCTAGCATCTTCACTAGCTCCAGTACCTCGCTGTCGGTTAACTGGTCCTGAGGTAAATTTCGGATTAGGACCAGCTTTGAGTTCTTCCCATCCATTAGTGGTACATCGTCGTTGTCTGGCAACAAAACCCAAGGCTCAAGGGACTCGTCACTGAGCCAGTCAGAAATCATATCGAGTTTGTTGACATTGATTTTTTTTGCATTTATGGATCTCAAGTCGCCTAGGGATCTCCGCACATGCTCGCTCGAACCTCTGGACCGAGCTGCAGTTCACCCGAAATATATGGCTGTTCGCACCTTGATTTCTGAACTTGTAGCAATGCTCGATGGCTATCTGGGATTTCCTAATGGATCTGAGCAGAGATTGGTGTTTTCTTCCCTTGCTTTCGCTCACCCGACGCCAGCTATTCCCGTCGAGGCCACCCGCTGCTCTTTCTTCGATACTCGATGATATTCGATGACGAGTATTTCTTCACCGTCCAACGGATTGAGAAACGCCTTCGAATGGGAGCATGAACGTAGGCTTTGTCTCCCCCTGTCCTGTGACTCGAATAGCGTCAGCTGAACGTTCTACCCGCAATCGAGAGTCACTCTCAATAGATGGACTCGTCAGTAGTACCAAAATATGTAAATCAAGCTCTCAGGTAGACGCCAGATACGGAATGGCCTCTGATGTCTGTATATAAGAAGGTGGTCAAGTACCAGGCATTATCTTTAGCTCTTTCGTCCATCTGCGAAGCCCTCCTGCAACGCCGATAAAGCCACATATCTTTCGACACCACTTTCGTCATACCTATGTAATCACTGTGGATTCTGATACGAGTGTATCCAAGGCGGATTGCCGAGTTCATTCGGATAACCTGTAGTTCGTTCCGTCGGCATCCGAACGTATGGTAGCCTCGGATTCATTGAGCAATGACCAAGAAAGGAACAGTTGACGCAACAAATCTTGCTCCTAGGGAAGATCCCCAGAGTAACAGGGACCAACGTCGCCTATACCTGGCCCAGGCAATTCCTCGTCGCAACATGTGATTCCTATCCGACGCTCGCCTTGTGAGGGCCGGGCCTTGATCATCGTATGAAGATCCTCTTCGATACCTGCTAAACCCTCTGAGGCTTTCCAGCACCTCTACCATTCGAGGATTTGTCTGCTTGATGAGAGCGAGAGATTCGGCTGACAACTCGGCCCACCGAGCCAATCCGGAACCTGCACGTGGTGTATCCGGAAAGAGGGTGGCCCGCGTGCATTCGAGCACATTCTGGAGATGTTGGTCGGCGCTGGTTTTAGATGCTAAGAGAGCCTGGTGATAGGGTTCACTGTTTCATCTTTGTATACTCGCAGTTAAACAATACACCCCAAACCTTTTGAAGTGTGCAGAGGGACCCGCTGATCGGACAAGGATTATGAGGTATCGCAAAATGCTGCGCAGATTTCGACTGGCTCGTTTGGAGGCTGGGGCATGTAATGATGTAACAGACGTATCGATAAGGATCGTGGCAGAGCATTTGCAATCATGAACGTGCTTGATTTGAAGAAGCTTCGAGGACTTAGATCTTGGAAGTCGAGACCTCCTAAACTATGGGCAGCGAATATAGTTGAACGATTGTTGGTATCATCGTGCTCGAGGTACGT